TAGGATTGAGTGGACTCATTGTGTGAGATAGCTACTAGCCAAGGACATAGAGGTTCTTCATCACCATTATACAATGACATAGCTCGAATATATCTTGAGGCTATGGGAGGGGAGAATTAGTGTATAGGGTATAGGGGCTGGATCATAGGTGGCTAGTATTACTTTCATTTTAGTGCTAGCTCATTCTTTATCATATCGCGATTCCATGGTTGTATGGAGCATGATGATAAGCACTACCGACAATAGTTTTGAACAAAAATAGAGCATGATTGGGCTCAACAAATGTAGGAGATCAAGGAGGAATACAAAGTGGAATACTAACTTCTCTAATAGGAGCTGCATGAGACTTGGTAGGAGCGACGAGGAGGTGGTTCGATGGCATAAGCAATAGATACGGATGATGTAGCGAGTTGTTACTAGAGATACAAATCTACAATCAATCATTATTCCCTCCTTCTTACCCTCTCATTGAAGGATCATGCATCTTATGGAGGTGTGGAATAAATAAAAATTTTCCTCCATCTAAGAGCCCAAAATCATGCTTGTTGAATATATTAATCATATATACATGAATAATAAGTTAAAAGTAAAGGATTACCTCTTGTAGCGTAGATCTAAATTCCTTTTCTTTGATTAGTTTTCCAAGTGTTCGACCTCTATTGATGATCCACATAGCCTAAATATCCACAAAAAGCACTCAAAATTGATGGGGTGCTAGCTTCACCTTTTTCGATTAAGTATTTCTGTAAAAATCAATCTTGAGCAACTTTGCGACAACCTTAAAGGGGAAGGTAAGAGTATCACTTGCTAGGATTTTTGAAGAAAACTATTTTCTTCCCTTTTTCTCTTTTGGCCATGTGCCCTAGATGATTTTAGGGGTTGGTTGAAGTTTTCCCTTTTTTCTCTCTTTTATTGACCGAATTTTATTTTATGATTTTACTTGGCCAAAAAAAATACTTTTTTTAAGTCATTCTCCTCTTTATGATGCATATCTCCTCCTATTTATAGGGAGAGAGTTTTGTTTTCCTCTAAGGACAAGGATAGGGGTGGCAATGAGTCCATAAAGGACTCTAGGTTGTTGCTTCCTTATCCTTCAAGGATGAGGAGTTATTTTATATATGGACTACTTGATTATTATCTTTAAAACATTCAACCTTATCCAATAAGGTTAATGTTTATCTTTAAAACATTCATCTTTATCCAATAAGGTTGATGTTTATCCTCCCACTAAAATTATCTTAAGGCTTTTAATTAAATCTAATAAGCCAAAACTATTTTAGCCCAATAAATTTATTTGGATTATCCAAATAAATAGTCTTAGATTATTTTGGCGGGGTCCACATTAGGAAATAATTTTTCAAAATACTTTTTAACCTAAATTAGAAAACTCCTTTCCTTTTAGGTTCTTTATTTTCAAATTTGAAACTAACTTCCAAATTAGGAAATCGATTTCTAAAATAGGAAACTTTCCATTTTAGGAAACTTTTCATTTTGGAAAATCTTTCCAAAATAGAAAACTTTCATAATAGGAAACTTTTTCCAATATCTTTGCTTCTCATTTGTAATGTGAATACTTGAACTTATGCGTGTGACTCTATAGGCTCCTAGATATATTAGCAATGTATCAAGAATAAAAGACTCATCTTTTATCTCTTGATACATAAATCAAGATTAGCCTTTAGCATGGCATCATGACTACCCAATTCTCTAGGAGGATTAGTTAATCCATTATTACCTTTCACAAGCATGGTTACCATACAATTCAGTCCTCATGTCAACTTATCACGAGTGTGATCTCGAACTTGGTTATTAGTCTTGTTTGATTATGATCACACAAGTTTTCTTCGATTCCCAAATGTCTTAGCTCCTAGAGTAAACCTACTATGCTCTATTGGTGTACTCCTACTATGGTCATAGATTTCTTGAGCGGATATTTATCGAAGTGCAATGTGATAACTCCTTTAGCATATAAGGAATGATATATCCTATCTTAGTTATACACCTATCTCCATTTGTTCCTAGTACATCCAACGAATCACCCATGCAAACCATTAATGGGTTCATCGAAATAAGTGTCAAAGTGCATAAGTCCTCTAATACGATAACCGTGATGACTTCGAGTCTATGGACCATTTGTATCCATCTCGTATGAGATTCCCATAGACTAAAACCAAATGGGTTCTCATGGTGAGTCAAGTCCGGTGATATGCTCTCTAACATTAATCATCTAAGTGCTTGATTTGGCATCACCATGCCGATAGGTGTGAGATCTCCTACTGCTATCATATAAAATAAGCATAGCACTCACAAGTCTATCCGCATATTGTCAATGTCCATTCTTGACAATGCTATGACTTGGGACATTTAATGATATCATTCATGTGCATTAGTGTTTATCTCACATCTTTCGATCAATCACTATTGCAAATGCATATCATAAAAACTTTTTATCTAATTCTACTGAACATGTATACAAAAGAATTAATAAAATAACTTCTTTATTATTATCAAGATAAATAATGCAATATTACTTTAACTCGAAGCCCATCCATACATGGTTGGATCTTGAGCACCTACACTAATACCCATTACCCAGTGACCGCCCTTTTCTCCTCATACCCGCGAGTCACCCTTTCCTCTCCATACCCGGTAGTCGTTGGATGATGCCGATGATCTTCCACCTATTTCTCCTCGATCAAACTAGCTCTTTTTGTAACTTTTTATTATTTTCATACATTAGAGCGTATTTGCATATATTTGATTATATTTTATATTATTTTTATGTTATGCAACAATATTTCATGTTATAATTTATTTTTAGTTATTTGCTACTATAATTTAATATTAAACCACTAATAACGAATTGAAAAAAAGTTCTATTTCTTTCATTAGCAACGGATCAACGACCGGCCAATGACAAAAAAAAAAAAAAAAAAAAAAGAAGATTAAATTATATCATTATTGATGGACAATTATGCAATCTGTCTTTATAAGACAAACCAATGGTGATAAATTCTATTGGTAAATCACCGATAGTTAGCATAAATTTTTGTCGCTATATTAGTGACACCAAGCTAAGGTTTAGCAATTAGATTTAGCAACCAAATTCTACGAGGGACTTTCGTCTCCATGTAGGTACAACGAGTAAGACCACTTACGATGGTGTTGCGATAGATGTTATAATTACAAACCTACCGTGTACATCACATTAACAATGAAAGTGCTTCGATATAGTGATAACTTGTTTGCCACTAATTTTACATTGGATGATAACTTATGTCATTAAAATTATAAGCAACAAATATTTTACCTACGATGCGGGTTCGTCGTCATTCTATCGTTAAAAGAAAATAACGACGGAATATAAAGGTTTAGTGATAGAATTTCCATGTCTAAAGGCTTAATTTTTTGTTGTGTCTATTATTGTTATTAATGTTAGTACAAAATATATACTTTTAGTCTAAAAAGGATAATTATATTACAAAAAGATACAAGAATATCACAAATTTTATGTAACGATCTTTTAAATTTTGTAATTTTATTACAAAAGATTGTTATAACTTTGTTATAATTTAATTTTTTACCAAAATAATATATTTACCCCGATTCGATGAAATCCTATAACAATTTTTACTACAAAAAAAAAGTAATAAATAAGTAACTAAATTTTCTATCAAACTAGAACCGAATGGACTTCTGCTCTACTGAGTTAAGAGTTTGAAAATTATATATATTTAATGATCTGGAATGTCTTTTAGCTTTAAAATCCATGTGTAATAATAGTGTTCTTAATTCATGCACAATTATGTTACAAAAGATACAAAATAATACATCACAAGTATTTTATAATGATCGTTTAAATTTTGTAATTTTCATTACAAAAGTATATAAAAAAAATTATAATTTTTTTTTATCAAAACAATACATTTAATATAATTATTAAAGAATATCCGACAAAATTCTTTAACAAACCTAGAATTAAATGGACTTATGAGTAATGCCCTGTTAAGTTATTAGTTTGAAAATATATTAAAAAATTAAATTTCAAAGCTTAGCTTCAAAACTCAATACTAATTTGTTCTTAATCTCATTAAAAAAATATGTACATTTGGTGTAGAAAGAAACATAGTTATGTTTAAAATATATAAAAATATCAAAAAAAATTTATAATGACCTTTTAAATTATATTATTTCATTACAAAATTTAGTTTCAAATTGTATATTTTTGTTAGCAAAATAGTACATTTAACGTACTTAATACTAATAAAAATTTGTAACAACAAACTGAAAAACAAAGTCTCAAATTCTTTTATTCGCATGAGACATCTAATTCGTTAAATAATTTTTATCCCAAAAGGAGTCCAGGACCAATTTAAAATTATTTTATTGACATGCCTCTTGATTAAATAATTTGGATTTTCCATAAAACATGTAACATATGAAAGTTCATGGACCAAAATGTAAAATTATCGTAGACCTCCACTTGGATATTGGATATTAGGTTTAGAAAACGGGTCGGAACATACTACGATATAAAATTTCAATTTCTTTCGATTTTTCTTTAATCAAATCATCTCCACATGTGATAATAATCATCAAAATTCATTATTTTCAAGTTTAAGTTGCAACAAAATTATAAAATCCGAAATGTAACTTTTTTAGATTCCGAATTATTGTTGTTATATAATAGTAGTTTCCGGCGGTGTCTCGCCGTGATGGTGCTTGTGTGGTTTCAATGACCGGATTTCGGTGAAGGACATTTAGTAATTCAATAATTATTAAAAAATGATGGAAAAAAAAAAGGAAAGGAGAGGTGAAAATGTTGGCTTGTGTAGATGTTAAGATAACTTGTATTTTTTTATTTAATGGTTCAGATTGCTTTAAAAATATCTAAAGACTCACATCATTTATATAAACCAATTTTATTTTATTTTATTTTTAACTAGTCAAAGTCATTCTCTTCGGCTAAAAATACCAACGAAAGAGGCACCTAATTTGTTTTAGACAAGTGGTTTTTCCGGCGAGATTATTTCCACGCCAATTTCTGGAGTCCTGCTCGTGCCACCATTTCCTTTGTATTTGTACCACTTTGCACAAACTATGAAGTAGCCCATATTTATGGTTCCCAGTGCAGCAACCAAGTAATAGAAGAGGTCCAGCCTTCCCTTGTTAAGATCTTCAGGCAACCAGTCACCGCAGGCACTCTTTTTAGTTATTTGGTGAACCATAGATATTAAAAATCCACTAAGGTAACTTGACGCTGCAACTCCGACAAATGATAAAGATCCACCGATGCTTCTCATGTTTTCTGGGAATTGCTTGTAATACAACTCAATTTGTGCTATGATTGTAAATGCCTCAGAAATTCCTACTACCGTCAGCTGAGGCACGAACCACAATGCTGACAAAGAAGAAATATTGGCATGACTTCTTGAGTCTACTATTGGGTTACTGATTGCCAAAGTTCTTCTTCTCTCTTCAACTATGCCAGATATAAGCATTGTGACTATGCCAAGAACCATGCCAATACCCATTTTTTGGAGGATTGTGATTCCACCTTCTATCTTTGTGAACTTGGCAAGCCATGGAACTATGATGCGATCATATATAGGTATCCAAATGGTCAGACCAAGCATGGAGAAGATGGCGTAAGAAGCTGCTGGAATCTTGAAACTGGTGTTGCCAAGGCCTCTATTGGATTGGAGGGCCTGGAAGACTACATAGGTTTGCTGCTGAATCAAAGCAACATAATATAGAAGAGCTGAAGCCCATATGGGTATCACTCGCAACAAGCATTTTACTTCCTCTACTTGTTGCAAGCTGCAAAGTCTCCATGGATTGGTTGTTGATCCATTTGACATAATTTGGTCTTCCGTGGTTAAGATTGCAGCATTGTCGAGAAATCTGGCAAGTATACATCATCATTTTGCTTTAGTGACAATAAAGAGTTATTAGATTGCATATATGAATTTGAAGTACTTCTATTATTTTGTTAATTAATTACCTGAATTGATCAGTATAGGGAAGGGTGGAGTTGATGGAACGAGCTGGAATTTGGTTAAAAAGGGACAACCATGGCTGCGCCGGTGGCTCGAGTTTCCTCTTCTTGATTGCAGCCACTACTACCTGAACTGCACTTGTTAAGGGGCTACCATCCGGTGTAACTTTGACATAAATCCTTGAACCAGCGAAGAAGAGAACACATGAACAGAACATCAAAAAAGCAGGAATTGCTAGCCCCCAAGCCCAGTTGATATCTGACTGCACATACACTACTATGGTCAAGGATATCATCATGGCAAAAGTGGAGGTGAAGTAGTACCAATTGAAGAAGCTGGAGATTCCTTTCCTTCCTGATTCGGTTTGAGGATTAAATTGGTCAGCACCAAAAGCCACGTTACATGGCCTAATGCCACCACCTCCAATCACGAGTAGTCCCAGGCCACTCAGTAAAGAAGTCATTTGCCATGGTGTTGGTGCAGAGCATGTATCCTGTGTTCCACTTCGACATTGGGGTGGATGAAGCTTTGAGATTGCAGCTGTTAGTGTTATTACCAACATCCCCTTCAAAAATAAAAATATAGAAAAGATTGATCTCTATCAAATTACTATACTCTTAATTTGTTTAATTTGGATTAATGTAAACCCTATCAAATGTCACATGACTTTATGATTGATTATCTAAGTTTGAGAGGCTTATCAAATAATAATAATAGTATTAATTTGTACCAGAAAAGAGGCTACGGAAGCAACTGCCAGTGTCTTGTAACGACCAAAGTAAGTGTCACAGAGGAATGCTCCTAGTAATGTAGCAATGTTGGTGGTACCATTGAAGATATTTACAAGAGTTGTGGCCGTGATGCTTTTCATGTGGAAGACAGTAGTAAGATAAACTAGTAAGTTGGACGAGGTTCCTGTACTCCCAAGCTTCTCAAATGTCTCATTTCCTGCATTTGTTATTTGTTACTCCATGTATATGTGTGTCTGTGCGTGGAAAAAGGCAAATAATTATCTAGGTGACACAAAATTAAGGAAAACAACCTTACCTATAACAAAAGGCATGGCTTTTACTCCTCTGTAGTTTTCACAGTGCTCATCTGCAGGCTGCCTCATGACCTTCTTGTTCACTGAATTTTCTCTCGTTATCGAGTTTGTAATACCAGCTAGCTAACAGGGAGGTACGGAGAGTGTTGCTTTTCTTTACCTACAATAATTGAGGGGTATTTGATGTGATTGGACGGATGATTTCCAATTTGCATGTGGCCGGCAATATTGACCAAATTTTCAGGAACAAACAAGGTGTTGACATCTTCATTCAACGCTGCAGATGTCTTGTTGCTTTTGAAACAAATAATAATAATAATAATAATATTTTTCTTCTTCTTTTTAGAGTTTGGATGATGCTTGGAGTGGGCAATGAATGTATTAGATTATCACAGCCGAGAAAATTACAATTATGGAGATTCGAATCTTATTTTATTAAGAAAACAATTATTAAATTAAATTGTGGTTAAAAATGTATTATTATTGTTATGATTTTTGGGATTTGAATCTTAGTGCGGTATTTAAAATAAATTATTAATTTTTTGTGAATATGCCATGCATGTCGGTTTATGAGTAATGTTTTTTAAATTGTTCAGAAAAGTGATTCAATTTCAATTCACAGATGAATTGGTTTAAAAATACCTCTCATTATCGAATCAGAAAAAAGAAACATGAATGGTTGAAATTAGAGGGATCTGTAGGTTTCAATAGGTAAGAAATATGAATGGTCAGAAGCAGAGGGACTCGACAAATTTGCTACTATAAATAGTTTTTAAAGGCAGACTTGAAGTAACAGATATCGGCTTCAATACGTAAGAAATATCAGATATGTGTCTGATATAGAGACAATGGTCAAACACGTGTTGATACAAAGCGCTGATATTTAAAAATGGTCATATATTTATATCGGCTTCGAATTCAGGATGACACTTAATTCGATTCTCTTCCATACGTATAAAATTCATTTCCAACGTATTTTTAATTAATAGCAAATAAAATATCATTTTGGTAACTTGAGGATAGTTTAAAATTCCTTTCTTCATATGATATTAACCGATATGGTTTATCAACTTGAAATCGTTATTTTCACTATTCAGAAAATTCAATATTTTTTTTATAATACTTTGCATTTTTTTTTTACTTTTACAATGTTAAACAAATTACTATATATTTGCACAAAATTGATGAATGTTAATAAAGAAAATCAAAATGAGTGACTTTAACCTTCTTACTATCATTGTTGTTTCAACCACATGGTGATCTTGTTATTTTAAAAAATTGGCTGCCTGTATTTATTTATAACACTTATTTGATACTTGTTATTTATCCGTATTTAAAAATAATAAAGTATAACATATATAAAACATTTTACTAATATTTTAAGAGTATATATATATATATATATATATCCATGCTTTTTAATATTATTTTGCTAATAAAATCTAGGAATGGAAAATGTAAAGCCGATTCACTAATCCGACCCACAGCCCTTCCTAAGAATAGAACCATGAGTATATTTTTTCAATCTTAAATTTATATGATTCAAAACTGAAATAATCCAAAACTTTTAAATGGGTCAATTCCATGGAATATTATTTATAAATCAAACACTAGGTTAGATTTTAACTTCACCAAACCTAAATCTATCAATATTAACAAATAAAAAAAAATATCAATATAAATTTTTTACTATTTTGTTCATCTAGTTTTTAATGAGGCAAAACCTTAATATATAAATAAGATTGTCAATGAATCGAACTCAAATTAGATCATAATAGATTTTGATATAATTTATTTAATAAAACAGATTAGATCGAATCTTATAAATTTATATCAAGTTTTGAAAGTGTGAATTTGGATTCGAATCGGAATAGACTCGAATCGAATTTAGAACTCCATCGGATTTGTAGCAAGGCGCGAGGGTGTAAAGTTGAGGGGATCTAGCAAGTCGGTTCGAGTGGGTAGAAAATAAGAAAGGAGTCGCTACCTAGTATTAGAAAACTATGAAACTCAAAATGATTGATCTAGATAAAAATCTAAGTACGAAGTTGGTTATGGGTAGGAAAGATCAAAATCTCTACTACTACGTCTAATTTAAGATAGGTTGAATTGCATGCATATTAAAAGTAAATGTTTGGTCTTATTATTCAATGACTTTATGCTTATTTTAGTGTACTTATCTTACTTGGAATGGGATGATCGAATAATTTGAAACTTAGGCCAATCAATAGCCTCTTCCATATTTTAAAAAAATGTCTAAGATGATGAGCCACAAATAACTTTGAGCCTACAACATACAAAATTAGCGAACTACTAATAACTTCAAGCTCAAAACATATAATTGGCGAGCCATTAATGGCTTCGAGCTCACAACATATCATTGAGGATCCACTAATGGTTTTGAATCAACGAAACATAAAATTGACAACCCTCTAATGATCCAAGCCTATGATATGAAAATTGACAAACTACTAATGGCTTCGAAGCCCATGACACGAAATTTTAACGAGCCATTCTCCAACCCCAAGAACAAGCGTACTTTATCCCATATCCTTGAGATTGATACATTAAATCATAAACTGGATCCCGAATCCGAAAAATCTATGTCACACCTACCGTTACTATCCATTCTCTTTCACCCTTTCTCCAATACCGGACCAACTTGTTGGCAATAACGAGGAAAAAAGTGATTGAGTTGGGACATTCTTCACCTTCTTTTGCCTTCGACTAGGTCATTCTTCAATTCAAAATCAAAAAATACCAATAGTGATTGATGCTCCAACTGATAAGCGTGTTATTTACATTGTTTGTAGAGGTTTATCTTCGATAGCTATAATCGATTTCGAAATGGGAGAGCCAAAGAATGGAGAAGATGTCGATTACTAAGCGGACCTTGAAGGCATTAATGGCAGTGGACAATGGTGCTCACATCTACCATGACCTCTCGGTTTCGGGTGTTTCGGATGGGTTTAGAGGTTTCCTAGTGGTGATGATCTTTAAAAAATGGGAGAAGCTTTTCAAAGGAGGAGAAGATGAAAGGTCTATTTTTTGGTCTTTTGTTGGAATTTGGTTCGAGCCTAAAAATAAAGTGCTTGGAAGATTTGGCTTTTGTTTGAAAAATGAAAAAGGATAGGGGAAGGGTCTGGATAAGTATAGCCTATGTGAGAGGGGCTGGACATGTGAATGTGAGGGGGTGGACTTGTCCGGCCCATGTGAATGTGAACAAGCTGGAACTAGTCCAGCCCCCTAAAAATAATACAAAATATAATAAAACATTACTGCTGGAATTAGTCCAATAAAAATACATGGGTTGGACATTAGCCCGACCCATGTTCATTGAGGTTGGATCACCTTTAGTTTAGCCTATTCCGGGCCTATGATCCATCTAAAGAAGGCCCAACATTTAATTTGAATTTTTTTAATTATTTACTTTTAGATAAATTTATTTTGAATATCTTTATGCATATTTATTTTTTATATTTAATATTCTAGTTTGCATTGAATTTATTTAAGTAAATCTTAAGTAATTTTTATTTTAGGATTTTAATCGATAATTAGTTTAGATAATCAAAAGATATGTGAATCGTCGAGTCTCCTAATTTTTAGGAGCGATGACGATTCTCTATCAATAATAAATAAATAAATAAATAAAAATAAAAATAATTTTCAACGAAGTCTCCTATCCGATAGGGACTATCGTTTGACAAAAAAATAAAAATTCTCAATAAAGTCTCTTATTTGATAGGAGCTGTCATTTGACTAAAAAATAAAAATTATTAACGAAGTCTCCTATCCGATAGAGATTGTCATTACCAAAAATCATCATTTAATTAAGATGTTTTCCGACTCACTTGGTTGTGTCAAAACTTAAAGTGGATCGATATTTAAATCGACACGTCGTCAGACAAATGGGACCGACTATCGTTTCAATACGATGCCACACCTAAAACTAAAAAAACTTAATTCAATTTGAAAATTGAAGTTTAAATCGAAAATAACTAAGCACAAATAAAGATACTTTAGGAAATTAATTTAGGACTAAACTAGACGTGATACCTTTCCTAGGAAAGGGCGCCTTTGGGTGATCGATATCTTTCCAAATGTAACTAACTCCTTATCCGAGAATCTCTACACCGGTGCTATTTTTAGGTTCCTAGTTCCTTTAATACAAGGTGATGACTCCAAACTTAATAAAAACTCACATTCCCAAAATAACTCGCAAACGAGATACAAAAGTCGAAAGCCTAGAATTTTTCGGAGTCTCGTCCAACATCGGGTAGTAACAAGGTATAGTATGTTGAAAACCCTCAAACTAGCTAACTAGTTTTATGTTCAAGAATTTGCTAGAATATCAATCTCTTAGGTTGTGTTTGATAAAACTAAAAATTAATTGCTTGAATATGTTAAGTATTGAATTTTAAATCCTGAATAATTAAGTACCGAATATGTTATTGACAAACTATTTGGTATTTACTTGAAAATTAAGTATTGAATATAATAAAGTAGTTTGATTGATAAGTACTCGTTAATGAATATATTAAGGCTATAACATGACAATTTTAACCTTGTAATTATAACATGATATTTTTTAACACAAATAAAAATATATACATAGATGTGTTTGTGTTTATAAATAAATAAATAAATATTCGATAAAAAATTTTATTAATAAAAAAATTAAACACGATCTAAGATAGCATTAATTGTTGTATCATGCACAAAATAAATGAAATCCTAAGTATTAATCAATTTATTTGCAATTTGATCTCACAAATCAATCATAAATGTTTGATTAGCTCATGCTTACATCCATGGTAAATTTGTAACAACATTTGGTATTTGATACATCACATAATTGCCATCAAATTGTTTTAAAAAATTATCCATGATGAGATAGTAACGCCAAAGCATGTTTTAAAATTATATATGTTAGTTGTCCATGATCAATCTCTAAAGATTGACTCGATCTAGGCTCGCATCCAAACCATGAGGTTGGTTGGTGGATGTAGCTTTCTTGTCTCGCCTTGCTATCTTTTTCTTACGGAACTCCTCCAACTAAAAAAGAATACGTAGACAAAAGGACACTATTACAAGTCAAATTTCACATGTTTTAATTAGATGAAAAGAACAACAATAAAATGGAAGGAGTCGAAAGCGGGAGGCTAAGCATGCGAGGGACATGTTACGTAACCACAAAATGCATAAACTAAATACCTTTAAAGATGCAAGACATGCAAGGGCAATAAGAAATTGCTACTTCTAAACCCGACAAGGCCATCAAAAACCTCACATCAAAGTAGAGTTATCGAAAAGAGAGTGGATGCACACAACTTGTGTTTATGGTATTGCAATGGAGATGTTTGGCAAAGTGTCGCTACACGACGTCGAACTGGACTCCACCAAAGATTATTAAATCTAAGCGTTAATTATTTACAAAGTTTTGGAGTCATCACCTAGTATTTAAGGAACTAGGAACTCGAAATAGGCACTCGGTTTAGAGATTTCTAAGGTAAGGGGTTGGTTACCCTTTTAGGAAGATATTTAATCACCTAAAAATGCCATTTTCGAAAAAAGGTACCATGTATGGTTTTGTTCTGAATTCATCTCCTACAATATCAAATTATTTTATGATTTCTAGATTCCTATTGTTTTTTTTTTAAAAAAAAAACAAATTGAATTTTTAATTTTTAGGTGTGGCATCATATTGAAACAATCGTCGGTCCCCTTCGTTGGGCGACACGTCGGTTCAAACATTGGATCCACTACAAGCCTTGACACGATCGGTGTGTCGGAGGACGTCCTAATTAAAAGGTGATTTTTTGGTGACGTTAGTCCCTATCAAATAGGAGACTTCGTCGAAAATTTTGGAGAAAAAAATTTTTTTGTGACGTCGGTCCCATCGGATAGGAGACTTCGTCAAAATTATTTTTTTTATTATTCTTTTAAATTTCTTTTTGTGGCGTCGGTCCCTACCAAGTAGGAGGCTTCGCCAAAAAAAAAATTTTACACATTTTTTGTGACGTCGGTCCCTATCGATAGGAGACATCAACAAAAATTTTATAATTTTATAAAAAAGAAAAAAAGAGAAGACATTGAAGTAACAATTCTAAATTAATATTAAAAAAATGTCAAGGAATAAAAATAAACAAGCTAGAAAAAAATAGATAAATAAACAAAATAAAAAAAGAATTCATCCTAGACCAAATCCCTTAACGCACAACTTATTTTTCTCCTACCTATTCCCTTTTTCTTTTTTTCTTTCTTATTATTTTTTAATTCTATTTTTTCGGGAGAGAGTCGGTCTTCGGCCTTTTTTTTTTTTTTTTTTTTTTTTTACAAAAAGGGCGGATTGGGCTAGACTTGTCCTATTTTTTCTTCTTTTTTTCACAAAGGAAGGATGGGCTGGACTCGAAATCGATCCGACCCATGCATCCTTTTTCTTCTTCTTTTTTCTCGGCGGGCTTTAACCGGAAACAAGCCCAACTCGAACATTTTTGACAAAAAACGGATCAAACACCCTAAAGACTCTCCATCTCCCCTGTTCTTCTCAATCTTCTTATTCTCTCTCTATTTTCCAGATTTTTCCGAAATTAAAGCTTCGCTCAAGAAAAATAACATACCTCGTTCATGTTCTCATTCAAATCGAACACCAAATCCGAAGCTTAAACGAATAGTTAACTATCGTTTGTAATGAAATTTAATAGAATCAAAACTGAAAAATGAAGAAAGAAGAAAAAGAAAAAAAAAACAATTACCGACTCGGTGAGCTTAAACGGATGATTATCGTTCTAAAAAAACTTCCCTCGAGTTGTTTTTGGAAAAAAAAACTTAGGGAATTGTCGATGGATTTTTGGAAGCTCAAGTGAGTTCAAGATCGGAAGAGTAAAGTTCAGCGAGTGTGATGAACTTCAAAATGCAAAACCCATAACGCCAAACCTGCCTAGAAAAACAAATTGAAAGGGAAGCCACGAAAAAACAAAATTAAGCCTCCAAAACTTGTAGATTTAAACTAGAAATCTCGTGAGGATTGAAACCGAACTCGGAATAACCAAGAACGATTTAGCGGCGGTTGGAGCAGACCGGTTTAACGATTTTTTTTTATTAAATGAAAAAATAAAAAAAAATCGAACATTTTTTCTCAAGTATAAATCAAACATTAACATTGAAACGAAAAAACTTCTTTTTTGCATAATGTATAAATATTATAATATTTTTTACATTATAATGTATTTCGCACAATAAATCAAAGGAAAAAATGAAATAAATAAAGAAGGGTTTGAACTTTTTTTTTTATCGGTATACTAAAATAAAGAGGAAGATTGAGAAGCAAACCCGAATATTTGTGTCTAATGTTTATCATTACCAAGTACGGATGGATGCTTTTTCTCCAAGTAGGTTTTGAATGTTTCATAACCACCTCCTTATTTGAATGTGTATTGCTTGTTGCGGTAATTGCAAATCACGGTAAAAATGCCTTTTTCTAAAGGAACTTTTGAGAAATGAATTTTGAAGATGTTGGATGATCTAGGTGTAAAATTTGATTGTTGTTGTTGCACCTCTACTCGATTTTGATTGACGGTATTACTTTGTTGTGATGGCATATGTGAACTTGAACTTGCTATTTTTTGTAGTATAAAACAATATAAATGTAAAAAATTTAAAAAGTATTTGGAGTATAAAAAATATTGTAGGACGAGTATTGAGAATTCTAGACTTAAGAGTTTAAGTGATTGAGAGAGAATGAGAGATTGAGTTATGAGGAGAATGAAAAAAGTGAGAGTGTATTTAAAAAAAAAACAAATGTCACAAATGGTTGTGAACGTTTGTCACATTTATGATATATATATATATATATATATATATATATAAAGCCCAAAAATTAAAAATTATTAGGCTTAATTTTTTTTTCATTTTTCGGTCCAACAACTACTTGTCCGACCCATATAAAATTGGTTTTTTTATTTAAATTTTTTCATTTTTTTTCGACCCAACCCAAATTTATTAGGAAAGATGTGGAACCGTCGGTTCTACAATTAATCGTCGATTCCGATTTCATGATACCTTAAACCATAACCAACCCGTAGGTAGCCGGTTACGATCCGATTTGGTCAAGGTTATAGTTTTAACGATTTCGATTTGGTTTTTTAACGGTTCGCTTTCGATTTGGTTTACGGTTCGAATCGAATCGTTACCATGTCTACTTCAAGATGCTCTTGCTTTCGTGAGCTCGGCAACACCCGAGCCGATGCCATTTACCCCTCAAAAAAATGATATAATTTTTTACATCTTAAAAGATAAAAGAGATGCTTACTTGGTTTTCTTTTAACTAGTAGTTTATTGATGATAATGAGATGGAAGCATTGATAATGGAGAAGGCCTCATCTCGTTTTGACAATAGGGATATAGTAAATATCATTTCTCAATCGGTTTGTATAATTATGATTATAAGAATATATGAGGGTTATATAGTCATTTTTTAAAAACTTTTAAAAATATTTCAATCGAGCGTGTTAATCAAAAAGATTTCGATTAAATTTAAATTTTAAATATGAGATTATTTAGATTATTAAATAAATTTTTTAAATTAAATACTATAATTAAATTTTTTAAGCTACTTAAAATAGGTTATAAAAAACCTTTTAGTTTTGGTTTCACATTGTTGGCCTTATTGACGTTTTGCTGCTACTGCAACCTTTCTTGCAGCCTTTCTTATTCAAGTGAACCGATTGCTAATTGTCCTAATTTGAAGTATGTGTGCTTCCTACGTTCAGTGAACTGATTTTCATCTACTTTAAAAATATCTGGATCCCAAGTGCTTCATTTGGAAATTGAAGGTTTCAATTTTGCTTATTCACACCACGGATGTAAAGATTATTGATATTTTCGACATTAAAAAGAAAATTGAGATTCATGTACTGAAGAGTCTAAATTAAAATTAAGTTTCTTCTGTTTCTACTTTCCTCAAATATGTGATGTGGTGTGTGGAGTTGTGATAGGGTACTCACGTGTGTATCTCACATCAATTTAATCTTTTTTTTTTAATTTTTAAAGATGATTTAAAAGAAAATGGTAAAATATTTTAGTCAAAACCATATCAACAAGTTTTTATATATTTATTAAGAATTGAGAGAATTTGGATCAAATTGTCTAAATATAACAAACATAAAGTTGAATTCACTAAACTATTTACCTAAGATTTAATTTACATATTTGATACAAACATAGGATCTCAAAATTAGTTTATTCCAAAAATCTTGATTAGAGAATAATGATTCTAGCTAGTTGCCTCAATCTGTATGTGTATTGTTTATTAATTAAGGAGTAGCCTATTGCAAAGCGAAAGAGATCCAAAGATTCTAATTAACATGTAACCTTCGAGAAGATTGGGAAATTATTCGTAAGCTTGGAACCCGGACCGACGCTGGACAAGGTGCCCTCTGTGATCCGAAGCTGTATTATTGAACCCATCGTCTCTCACCATAAAACAAACCCCATCCTGTTCACCTAGGTCTACATCTATGTACATAGTAGAGTCCCTTTCAATCTCCAATGTAGTAGTAACATCTTCTGTAATCAAAGTATAAATCTGTCTCTGTGCTTCAGATAGAAAACTAGTGTTTGATGGTCTCATGGTGACCAAATTGGACAACTGTAAAACAGTGGCTGAAACTTCTATGTTGTAGTCTGCAGTTTACACGTGAATTCTAGCACAAAGAACTTGGTCGTTTGCATTGCAACTGCAAAATCATAGGATACAAGTTGCACAAATATAGGACACTCCTTGGCTCTTGCTTCCACAAATCTGAACTTGTGGGCCAGCATCAAACTCAATCTTTCCTTCATCTCGAGCAACAAATTCTCCTAGATCCCACAACCAAGTCTGTACTAGAGCAATGTTGATTATAGCCTTCTCTTGCTGTTTGTGTTCAACAGTCATTATGTGCTTGGGAAATGGAAAAATGCCCAACACTTTCTGCTTCTCTTCATCAATATCCCTATCAATATGCAAGCTACATTGCTATCAATATGTATAGCTACTTGGTCCTTGCCTTCATCCTGAATTACAGAATCATCATGACTTATGACCTTGTTATCACTATACACCTCTACTGCAGTAGCGACTTTGTCAATATATTCATACTTTACTACCTCACACATGTAGTTACCACCATCCTCTACTAGGTCTTTAATGGTAGCAACATCATCCTCACTTTCAGCACCAGCACAATCAGCATCATTAACCTTACTTTCATCACCACCAAAACTAGCATAACTCTTTGTCTCCTTCTTGGCCAGGTCACTATCTTCGTTAAGGCTACAGTCATTATACTCTAATCTAACAATCTTGCCGTCAATCTCGCCTCGATCCTCATCCAATCTTGGAGGTTGATTTAAATCCCCCAAAGAACTAGAATCATGGACAATCTCAACATGTGCTTCAAAAATTTTAGCCTTTAAATCATCGTCTTACTGCTAAAATTTTTCTTCTCTTAATTTAGGATAGAAGGGATTGTTCCCTTGGACCTCATCTCCTTCACCCCTAGTATTTTGGCCACCTGCCTTTCGGATTTTCCTCTTAAACTCATCAACTTGTTGTCGTACATGTAAGAGCTCACTTTGCAAGTTCTCCATCAAAATCTCTAAAAGTAGTTACTGCTTACATTCAAGTTGCATTCGCATCCTGGTTAATGATACACGAACTGGTGGTCTTTAAGGAAACATCTTTATACAGCGTCAATAGCACACAACCGAAACTCACCTTAGCTCTTGTCATAACCATTTTTTATACAAATTTTTATATTATATAAAATTCAAAAATTTTAAAAATTGCATATTACATAGTTTCTTGATTTTTTTCGTGATTTTTAGGTATTTTTATAAATTTTTAGGATTTTAAGTTTTTAGGATTATCCCCTAATTTTAGTAAAATAAACAAAAGAAAAAGAGAGAGAGAAGAAAACAAAGAGAAAAAAAATTTAAAAATAATTTAGGATCCAATTGAAAAACCTACAAGAAGTGAGGATCAAATAACATCCAATTAAGAGTATAATGGAAGAGAATAAAAATTAAAAGGGCTTAATTAAGAATGAATTGAGATAAAATTGAAATAAATTAAAAGAATTGAGACAAAACAAGTTCAATTAAAGGCATGATTGGAGAAAACAATAAAGAAATGTGCACTAAAATTGAAAGAAGTAGACAAATGATGGACCAAATTAAAATTTGACCACCAATCAAACCTGCCTATAAAAGCTCCATTTTCTCTTAAAAAATAAAAAATAAAATGAGAGCTAGAAAGAGAGAACCAGATGGGGGAGCTGAAATTTTGATAAGAAAAAAGAAAGAAAAAAGAAAAGGAAAGGAAGAAAGAGAGGAAGAAGAAGACAGGGAAAGAAGGTAGGAGAAGGGCTGAAATTTTCATATGAAAAATTACCCAAAATAAAAGAAACAGCTAAACATGGCCTTAAAGAGCCATTAACTCGGGAGTCAATCCGCACACCCACTAGCCATCTCTCTCCCAAAATCACCACTCTTTGGACAATATAATCCTCAACAACTATCACAAACTTGATGCACAACCTTAGATCGATCTTTCTCAACTAGTTACCATGGTAAAAAATGATGAAAGAGGCCCCAAAACAAGAGAGAAAACAGATAACCCGCCTAAATTAAAACCCAGCCAATTCTCCTATTTTTGACAAACTAACTGCTATCATAACCAAAGAAATATCCCTCACCATCTTAGAAATCGATCCCTCTTGAAAGCCTGACGAAAACTCATTGGAAACAACCCAATCGATGAAGAACCCAAATCATGACCTATTTTTGAAGACCTATTCTAATCGACATATCCGTGTTAAATTACACCTCCAAACCATTAGAGAACCACTCGGAATCTTTTGAGTCGATTATTATCCTTCTCTTCCTTTGTCATAGCTAGAATCATGATCTGAGAAGAAGGAGAAAGAGGCAGTCGTTGGCTGACCATCAATCTCACCCCTCCGATTGTCATGACTTACACGGCCTACACCAAATGAACGAACATGCCCAACCACTCCTTCGTTGACTAGCTACTCGTAGAAAGAGGCCAGACTATGATCAAAGTTGATGACAATAACTTAGGGATTTTAGGGCCTATTTTGTAAGTACGATCTGCCATGTACTGTACTTGTGTCAGGGGTATTTTAGTCATTTCACATGTTAAGGATATTTTTGTCATTTTTCAATAGCACTCCAAGTGTAAAATTGGTAATTCCAAAGTAAAACATGGGTAATGTAACCATCTAGGACTATTTGGAGTATTTATTCTTTTTTTTGTAATTTATTTTTTTAGTATGTTTGAATTAAATATATGAATTGTGATTGGATTGAAGTATACTTAGATGTGTCATTGCACAAAGAATTTGAGAGGTCGGAGGCTCCTAGGATATTGAGGTGACATAAGGTTAGTTTAATACTTTACGATGAAGCTATGAGGATGAGTTTGTATTTTATTTAATGGATTATTCGAGATAAGTGTTGATCTCTATGTGTTACAAATGAACTAGTCGATTGAAATTCTTTATGTTGTGATTGCTTGAAATGCTTGATGTATGATTTAAGTGTGTCGATATATGAATGTTTGTTTATGATAGTTTGCTTAAAAAATGATGAGTTAGATCAATTCATTTTTATACGGCGTTACTGTGTAAATATTTTTAGTTAATTAGGTTATTTCTTGACATGCCAATCGTGTCATGACTTTACTAGATCCGATACTAAATTGATGAGAATTGCAAGTTTTAGAGTACAACTTTAATTTAATATGATACCATAATAAAAAAAATAAAATAAAATAATCAATTTTAAAATATTTTCTCATCCACGTCCAAATAAAAATACCCTTAGTTAATTAGATCGTTCCTCGACATATCAATTATGTCTAGACATAATTGGATTTGATGCTAAATTAATACAATTACCAACCTTGGAGTCTATAACAAAAAAACAAAAACAAAAAAATCAATTTGACTTAGACGACAAATACACTTTGAAAATATATAATTTTGTTGGAGATATTCGTAGGATTAGACTAAATTTGATATCTTTTTTTCAAAAATAGTGTCTTTAGGTGATTCTTATCTTTTCACAACTATAACTAAATGCTTACCCTATAATCTATGATCCAATGCTCTTTTAAAGTTTCTAATTACCTTTAATGCTAGATAGTTACTCCAAAACTTTTTTTTTAATTCTTTTTTCCTTAAAAACATTTAAAGTCTCCTAAACATTATGTAGCAATAGCCCTAATACCAGCTTGATACAAGAACTAGTAAAAAACTATGCATAAATCCACAAGCAAATAAAAAAACCCCCATTAGGTTGAAACTTCTAGCCAATGCAACAAATAGTTCGACAACAAATAAAATCAATAAGTTGTAAATTCAACCCCACAATCTAACAAAAATTTGAATTTAAATAAGTACTAAAATAACCCATAGTCAATTCAAAAACAAACCCAAAATTAATCAATCTCAAAATTGTACATACAAGCTCAAAAAATTCAAAAATTCTTGAAATATTGCAATAAGTCGAAACCCTCGGAAAAATTATCGAATATTATAAAATTTTAATATAACATAGGTGGAGTCTAGATGAAGTTGTGATATAAATTTCAAATCAAACCTATACCTCTAAGTCCTTATTTCAACAAGTCGAAATTCAATAACACATGAAGCCTTAAAAACCTAAAATTAGGGTTTAGCCAAAATCGAGGCTAAAATTGTCGAAGTTCACTAAATTTTAACCAAACCCTATATAGGCCTAATATATATTTTTGGAAAGATTTCAACCAATTTTGAAAATCATACCTCAAAATCTAGTCTTGTCTGCTCCTCCCTAAAACCCAAAACATAAAAAGCCAAAGTTTAATTTTATTCTAAACTAGAATAAAGCCAAAAATTCTCAATAATAAAATCAATCTAATATAAAATTTCAATTAATATGAATGAATCAAAACCTACTTGTGAAGTAAGTTAAGAATTGGGATATGTACGTCAAGAGTCAAAGATACGGATACATGATATCGATTCTTCAATGCAATAATCGATTTGCCACCTTAGGTGATTAGAACTAAAATGCAATAATCAATTTGCCACCTTAGGTGATTAGAACTAAGGATAAGAACACATTTTATATTATACAAGAACGCCAATTTGAGAACTAAAAATTCTTTACGCTTAACTTCTATCAAAATAAAACAATCATCTAAAAAGTTACAAATGAGCGAGCATAAATACTACTCTCCTAAAATTCATAATTCAATTGGAATTATTAAGTCCAATTCGAAATAAATTAAGAATACAATAAACTCCTAATCTAATTAGATTTAATTAACTTAAAATCTCAATCCAAATTTAACGAAGACCCAAATAAAATAAACTTTCTATTATATAAATAGACATGTATAACTAGGCCAAACATTTAGCTAACAAAACCCGTAGCTATCGACCACAAACTCTAGTGGACACTCACAACCCCTATTTCCACTTTATTTTTTTTTCCTAATTGCCATTATTTCCATATTGACCTACAGTTTCAAAATCATTTTTAATTTCCCTCTATTTTTATTATTTTTTGTATTATTATTATTATTTCTTTCTCCCTTTTATTCTTTTCTCTCTTTTTTTATACATTTTTTCCCTCATTGTTCTCAAACTCAAGAAATATGTTAGTGTAATCAAATCATAAAAAATAAAAAATAAAAAAATCAAATCAACCTGAAATTATGCATAGAAGTCAAGGCTAATGTAACATGCTATATATATATATTTCTTTTTCTTTTTATGGAAAACAATGATTTTTTCCCCTTTTTTTTTAATAAAAAAATTATGGAATGGAAAAAATTAGGTGCTAACATGCACCATCCTTCTAACCGTGATGGTGCAAGCTGATTCTCCTTTAAATAAAAATTGTTGCTCCTCTTCTATACAATTCATGTATTTTTCTTATTTCTTTTCATATTCTTGACTCACCTTGAACTAAGACTATATCTAGTTTTTTTTTTTTTTTTTATCATTTGTGACTTGTAGGAGTCATCAAGGATTAATTCTTAGGCATGAAGGCTTATTTGTGAGTTTTTGATACAAGAAGGGTCTATTGCTCACAAATAGTTATTATCAGAAGTTATAGGAACGTGTGGATTGAAAGAATCAATGCAGAATTCGTTAAAAATCAACAATTATCAAGTCCTTAACCTTTCTTTAACCAAGAGGCTACAAACAAGATCCTATGTAGGATATTTGACACAAATCTCAAACACGGCCTTAGTACAAATATTATAATCAATAATTGATTGTGACATTCTTTTCTTTAATCAGTCTTAGTACAAATGTCATAGTCCTAGTGGTTGTGACACCTTATTCTCTCCTTATAAATACCCCATTAATCACCTCATTCATGATCTTTTGACTCATTTATCAATCTCACAATAAAATTGAATTTGATAGCTTTTCTCTACAAAGACCCATTCTACACCAAAATCCTTTAATGTACCTAATGCACTACCTGTCCAGGTACTCTCTGTCAAGGTTTGCTTATATTCTCTCTCTTCAACTCCTTTTTTTAATTGTCTCCCTCTTAAGGCATCAATTGCTTACACTACTAATTTTGTTCTATGTTTCATACATGTGTGAGAATATGTTGCTTGAAGAATGTTATTACGAGGCCTTGAGGAGTTGGAAGTTTTTGGCATGCGTTTAGGGATGGCCATGGATCAGGTACCCGATCCAATGAGCCAATCCCATATTATATCCATTAAAAATTACTATATCTAGTACTTTGTCCATTGTCAACTGAGAATGACTTACTCGTTTCTTTATTCGATCCATATCCGTCATGTCATACTCAGTCGATATTTATTTGCTTGCTATTTTTTTTATAGAAACAGTTTTTAAATTAAAATAAAAGTGATGAGTGGTGCTTCTAACCTTTTTTTGTTTTTGGTAACCATATCGCTCCATATTTCTCGTGATAATTCAGTTTTTTCTTTGAGGTTGTCTTTCAAATTAATTCAATTGTTAAAATTAAGTCTTCCAGATTTCCATAACATATTTTCCATATTAGCATGAATAATTTATAATGCTCAAAATGTCACTAAATAGTCGCGTAATTATAGATTGCTATAAATTTTACTAAAGATATAAATCATAGATTGTGTGAAACAAATTATAATGAAAAAGGAGTAATCTTTCTTGAAAAATATTATTATGATTTTAAGGCCTAATTAGTAGAAAGGAAAATATTTTCTAATGTTAAAAGAAGGCACAAAATTTAGGCAAATCATATACAATAGCTTTCCTACTTAGTTGAATATCTTCTATCGATACACCTACAGAACTGGAAATTGTCAAAACAGATGGCAATCAGAAACTCACCAATATATATAGCAATTAGAAAGTTCCACCATCTCCCAATAATTGCAGTAACCCATAAGAGTAAATTATAAATTAATCTCTTTATTTTTTAGAAAGAGAATAATTATTCCTTCTTATTTTAAAAACTAATTATTTAATTTTTTAATTAGTATTGATCATGTTTAACTTAATATTACTTTATTTTATAAAATATCATGTTTTCTCATCAACCCTCTCATATTTTTAATTATTTATTTCTTTTTCTATTTTTTTAAATCAAAATAACTTAAACATGAGTGAAAAGGATTAAGCTACAAGAAAATTTAAAAATATAAAAACTAATAATTAGTTTTTCAAAACAAGAGGAACTAATTAATTCATTTATTAAAATTAGAAGGACTAATTTATAATTTATACCAATCCATAAGATTTCTACAACCTATATGCATTTTGTGTGAAATAATAACTCCTCTTGTTAGAATGACATATGCATAATAAAATATAAAAAAGGGCCATTTATCCAACATTGGTTTCAATCACTTTTGTAGAGGAAGAAGCCATAAAAAAAAAAAAAAAAAAAAAGGGGCCATTTATCCACCACCATATGAAATTAAATTGTTACTCGCTTGTCAAATTTAATCTTAAAGTAGATTATATCAACGCTTTGATTTTGTGAT